TCGGCTGGCCCGCAAGTCATTGTATAGGCCACATCGCATTCAAACGCCACTACGAATGTACAAATGGAAGTAGAATGCGTGCCGCATCCCAAAAAGGGATTGATCAACGGCAAATGCTTTATCCTTTTTATCCTTTAACTTCGCTTATATGCAACGACTACTCAAATGTGTATCAGCATACTTTGGACATTTTTCCATGGCTTCCTATATTGTACATCTGGAGCCAACTGACATCTTTTTTTTGAATTTTAGCGTAAAAACTGACAATTCCTGCTGGTCGAATATCACTGATTGTTTTTTCTGGCATTCCTCGTTACTTCTTTCTACGAAATTAGTATTTTGTGTTTAATGGGAACAAGACAAGACAAAAAATCACTCTTTACTCTATTTTACTGCAACATTTATAATTAATGCAATAATAACAATGAAGGTAGAAAAAGTCCGACCATTACAGTTACGGTTGTTGAAGGTAGACGACAAAGAACGACAAGTACGCAGTAGAACAAACACGGTGATAATAGATTCTCCAAGGCGACAACAGTTTAACCGCATAATCAATAAAATATAATAGGTACGGGATCAAAAAAGACTACTTGTCATCGCAACATGATCACAAAAGAAAGCACATTAATTGATTTCTACTATTCGCAAAGGATAAGAAATGACGCGACTGACAGAAACAATCCCATTCCAAAACACCAGTGCTTGTACGGAACAGCCAACTTCCTAAAACACGTACAACTGCCTTCCTTCAAAGATTCATCTCTACACAAATTACGAGAGCGGTACTGAGTTATTTCCAAGCTTGGCAGAAATCATTATAAGATCACCACTACAGCTTCACATGGTAAGCATACCACCCGTCATATGGGTAAATAGTTTGACAACTCGAAAAAAAAACAGCGACACTGCTAACTTGGCCATTTCATTGTATTTAGATCTCTTGAAATATTACACAAATAAGCAAATTCAGGCAATATCAATTTTGTCCCTGTCAAACCCTCTCTTTTCCTGTGATTACTTCAAGCAACAACCCAAGCAGAAGTCGTGTCGAAGAATCTATTCAGTGGGTGGGATAGAGTAGCCTAGGAGCATCATAGATACGCCGAGAGTGTGCGCATTAGCGCAAAGGCTTTACAAAGTGAGCCAATGACGGCTAATGTGAGCTAATGGACGAGATACCTCGCGCACACCCCATGACACGCAACGTGGATTACGACGTAGCGGCTAATTCAAATACGCGCGGGTTAGTGGAGCCATGGAGCAAGCAAGTTCGACAACTCGTCCGACCCTGCCCCTTTCATCTCAAAGAGGAAGAGATGTAATACTTTCTCATGCCTTCCTCGGCTCCTCATTCACAACTCCATTATCCATGCTGAGGCTCTACCAATTTGATATGGAGGTGTTGCTGTCTTCCGCTGTGTTCTCTTTCACTGTGAACTGAACGCCCATAGCCATAGGAGGAAATTGCAAATGTACAAAAACTGTGTCTATTATGATGAAAGATTATCATAATAATGATCACCTCAGAATGGCACCTCATATCGACTTTGCCCTTCCATTTATGAACGTTTGGTTTCTCTCTACTCCCTCTTAGTCTGGTCACTCGGCCATTCCACATGGTGCACAGCCTGGCACTGCAGCACCATGTGTAATGGCCACGAGTGTACTCGGTGGAATGTTTACCTAGCCACTGTGGTGTTATCACAACCGTGCCATTAAGGAACCTTGACATGTCCTTGATGGCTGACTGATTTTTTTTATGTTGTTGATTATGTTTGATGGTTTCGAATGTCGCTCAGGCCACCAATCTCTCAGCATCTCTTATATTGGAACTTGACTTTGCCTCACTATAAAGCTAACAAAAGAGCAGAAAGGATTATTGAAGTTGCGAGAGTGCAACTTATAGGCAAATCGAAAGCTGCCGTACCTTGTTAGTGAATCAATTAAAGAATAAGCTGGGTGAGGTACGGTTACTACGTAGGGCTGTTGAAGATATAATTCGCTACAAGCTGATCGAGCGCCAAATAATCACCGAACTGTGTTCACAAGAGCTGAGTTTTCCATTTTTTCTCACCCACAGTGAGCAAATCATGAATTCTCTTACATAATGTGTTCGGAAGATCGTGTGCTTTCGGATGACATCAAAACCATCGAAAATGGTCAACAAAATTAGGGAAGCTTCAAGCCAAAACAACAGCGGATAATTTTGAATCAACCAATAAAAACCATCGACGTGTAGGCGAACTAACTCAACAAACCGACCAGTTTGTATCCTTCAGCGTCTTTACTGAACCTTACTTTGTGTGCACTTTTTAAGCACTAAAACCCTCGAAAGAAGATGCATCCGATGGTGAGTGAGGGAATCCAGAGAAGTGCTTGATACCTTAGTTGTTCATTTGAGGACGCATGAGATCATATGAACACAAAACTTTGTCAAATTTTTAATGTTATGAAACTATGAAGACTACAAGGCTGCAGCAACCCAAATTCAGCGGTAATTATTTACCGTCTCCGCTAATCCATGGGACTGATGTTCATTTAAATGCATAATGGCGAACTTTGGCGGAGTCGTGATCAAGTTTTCCGGCGACCAACATTTACCGCATCGGAAACATTGAGAATTTCACTGAGCCAACCTATACATATATCAACCTGCCAACTTACTCGTACGGCGCAAAAATAATATATACTATATATGTAGCCCCGAAAATCTGGGATATCGAAACTTTCGTTCGCGATTATAAAAGTAAAAAATCAACAGAAATAACATCCAGAATGGTCTTAGAGGATATCATGCAGATCATTTGTAAAGATTCTCCTACATTTTTGTACAACTACTGTCTGTAGCTATCCTATGCGCCTAGCGCTCGAGGCCTTCACATTGGATTACTTGGCGGTCACTGCAGCTCCGAACACGGCTTTGGGCTGAGGTGGATGGTAGAAGTAGCAGTTCGCATTCATGCACAAAGAGCCATAATGGCACGCCTGCAACAAAGAATAAATGAAAGCACAAGAAACATGCTGATATCTCATTAGTATCTGAATCCGTAATATAACATAACAAACATTCCCATGACACACATATTACATATGACATGACATACAGTAGCGGTCAAAAAAGTTCACCGGAACAGTTTTCCGCGCTCCTCTCCTTTTTGCCAAAAATTCTTTTGGATATCCTATTTTTCAAAGGATTGACTAATAAAAAAACTCTATGAAAGCATAGTAATAAATTTTGGAAGCGTCTCTCCGCGAGAAAAAATAATGCACTAAAAATCATTTCGGCGAACGCTTTTGACCGCTACTGTATATAGTAAGGTATGGGTTGCTAGGAAAGAAAGCGCGACACTTTCTCGCTACGAGAACCCCAGATCCAGTCTGACGAAGAGTGGAGCAGCCTGTGGGCGTCTGCAGGCAAAAAAGTTGCCCGCTGTTGAAAACCAACATCATTCTTTTTGTCCTGTGACCCACACCTGTCCGTAACACATCGTCACGGTAAAATAGTTGATCATCGACAGCAGCTTTCCGCATAATTTCCACAATCTTATATACATTTGTAGTGGACAAAAGGGTTTCTGAGGTCCTATGTTAAATAGTGGCTTTTTGAACTTTTCTAAAGCACCTCTCGAAAACCGCGCGCTCAAAGAATCTAGACTCTGTCCCAAAAATGGAATCTGCACGACTCCACCATAGTATAAAGAAACGCTCGATTGTCTTCGTCAATAAAAATGAAATCTTCAGATAAACAATTAGGCAACAATTACAAAATATTCAAGGACGAGTTCACTTTTCCCTGTACAATCCCTACCAGAGAATTCCTTCATCATAATCGCACCAAAAGTTTATTCAAAGTCGTGATTCGCATGCTCGAATTCACCTTTCAAAATCAAAGATTACACAACCACGAACTATCAGAAAATCTCACATACCTTTGGATGCTTGAAAGCGCAATTCGGTTTCTTACATTTGTTACCAAACAAACAAGGCGTGAGTGATGCAAGACTTGGAACAGGATTTGGCTCAGCGGAAAGTGGCACACTGCAAAAATGTAGAAAAAAAATGAACAAGGGTCTGGAAAAACCAAACGAAAAATGGCAATACTAATACAAAATTAATAGTTCCAAGGTTAAACACATACTCAGGCTGAACTTTTGTCGGTTCAACAGCTGGTACAGGTGCTGGTGGTGGAGCCGGCTGTGGTACCTTGAGAAGAATGTCATCAGATCACATAAATTTTGTGGAGTTCATAAATTAAAGATGAAATACTATGTATTACCTGCTGAACTGCTACAACAGCCGGAGTTGGAACGGCTACAGCCGATATTTTGCCGTGAGTATAGGGGCAGTTCGGATTCACACATTTCCTATCAAATCGGCATGGCGGATGAATGTACAAACAACGAGAGCCGAATGAACAATGCGGGAAGTTTCTGAAAGTAACAGTGAAAGTGGCATCCAGACATATTTCAAACAAACATAAAGGCATGAAACAGTATTACAAGAAAAAGGCTTTCCATGTATCTGTTTTAGATCAACTCCGCCATAGATTGTACAGCGATATTTCAGTCATGAAACGAAGTGATAACGATTCTATTATAGTAAGGAAGAAGTCACACATCTAGGCTAAAAAGCCAAACTAAAGCACCTCGAATAGCCATCAGCTTTGAATCACCAAATTATAACATCAATTATTTTCATGTGTAAGCAGGAACACAGCACTACCTGGCGGTGAAACAAAAGCTGAGAGGAACATTTACAACAACCTATGAGACTTTATCAGCGTAAAGTCAATCCTACGTATCCCCGATGTCCTAACGGAAATATAACGGTGAGCTATCCACGACTTCCCCGCGAATCTCCTCAACAGCCATGCTTTTCTGTCAAGCACGAATAGGAGCGCTCCTGGGAATTTTCCTTTCGAAGTCCAGATCATGTTTTTGCCGATTCCGTCGTCATTATCAACGACACAGTATCTACCTAGGTCCAAACGGTGGAATGGGCACAATCTGTGCGGTAATGGCCCGGTCTTTGTTCCCTATAGAAAAGATTGTACCAGTAAACCAATCAAATCGTAACCAATGAGCCTTTGATGAGGCATCGCGTGAGTACAATATCCCACATGTATCACGTTTCTAGGATTTTTGATGTCACTGAAACGGAGGCGAGAGTAAGAACACCTGGACATCCACTGTATTTCTGAATACTTTGCGTACAAGGATTCCTAATAAGCTCTACAATGTGAGGCGTTCAAGATTTTGTCATTGACAGATCATCGCTGGCGTGTGGGAAGGTTCTACAATTACGACACCATCTTGCACAAACTTTTCGAAGCCGCTATAGAAAAAAAAATCGCCTCAAGCAAGTGAAGTGAAATTATTGGAGTGTGAGCTGTGGCCCGCAATCAGATTTGTGAGTTTCGCTGACGATAATGTCTTCACAATAGCGAATGTTGAAAATCGGCCGACTGCGACTATATGTGGAACTGTCGATTTATATGTGAACGTGGTCTTAGAGATTGGATTGATTTCTTCATTAGTCGTCTGAGCTTCAGGAGCAGCCACGCTCTGAATTTTTCATACTTTCGCATACGACGAAAAGATGTATGCATGTAAGCAAAGTCATTTAAAGAGCCAAAGCAAGAGGAAACAAGCGGTTTGAGAACATTTCCATAGAAAATTTCTTGAGTTAGCCATAAAAAGACTATTCCGCACTAACCGCTTGAATTCCGATCCCTCAAGCAGCACGTAGACCCCTGAGAACTGAGTCGACGCATGCTGACCGTCAAGTTATCAACGTCGCCCATCTCGCCGTCATGGGGGAAACACTTGCATTTTCTTCATATGTAAGGGGACCGAGAACTGGGTATACGGAACCTAACAGTGCTTCAAAAATCAGCTGGGACGGCACTTCACGCGACCTAATGTTTTCAGCTGGATGAGAGCGGCACCAAAAGAACCATCTGAGATTCCTAACAAAAAAGCGGCACACAAACTTTGCGAAGAATAAGAACAAGATTAAGCCAGCGTCATGCGATCAAACCGCGAAGTTGCCACGCTAGCATCTCGATGATCAAGGGGGCAGAAATGACAAGTTCACGAAGAATGTCTCCTTTTCTTCGGATCAAACTCAACTTTAAATTACATGACACACAAGAAATAACGGAGAGCCTCCGCTTATTAATGATAAATTTAACGCCTACATGCATTGCTTCGTAGGATGAGTGTAGGAGCAATTCTCCCCTTGTCTGCACGCTGGCCAAAATCGACAGCGTTCTGGAATCTTGGTCACCGTTGGGAAGTTTATGGTGTCTTCCTGAAAAATGAATTGCATTACTCGTAATCAAACGTTCACAACAGAATGTAAAGCAGATCACTTCAGTTTTCAAAACTCACTTTTGACAGGGGAGTGGGAACATAATTCGGCGCTTCTCTAGATGGTTGTTGCGTAGGTGATCCCGCATATCCAGACCAACTGTTTCCACGACTAAGCTGATGTGTGGGCGGAACTTCCCCGTCCTCATCCATCGAAGTAGAAACACCACGAGCGTCAGCCAAAACTGCATCGATCTTCGCTTCTGAAACCGATTTAATCATGACATCGCTTCACAAAGAGCGATAAATAGCTCACCGTCATCATCGGTCGTATCTTCCTCGTCCAACTGAATCTGACCGTCCCACTTACGGATGGAAGGAGATTCAAGGTCATCCTTAAATACACTTGATGAGCTATTTTCGACTTAACTTCCTCCACCAAAACAAATACATAATTGATTTGCTACCGCACTACTAGTCGATAAATGGGATTAACAAAACTTCCAATTCACAAACTGTCAGAGGATGAGATATGATATATCGTACACCACTTTCAGATATTGAAGCGCGAATCAGAAACAAGAACAAAGATGATCAAGATCACTCCTCACCGACAAGTCATTGTCAATTTCTACGGTTCGACCACGTTTTTCTGGAACAACCACAACACCTCCGTTCTTAGCATCTAAAAAAACAATGGCATTGAGCTGAAAAAAAAACGGTGTGCGAAGGAAGGAAAAATATGACTATCTCTGTTCAGAAAAGAATTGACAATCGTAGGATGAACCGGAAGCACTACTTAAATTGCTTCATGGAATCAATCGAAAGCTTAATGGTATGGACGACAACGAAGATGAGGGAAAAAACAAACCTCCACTATCCTTCTCCTTGCGACGTTTCAAATTAGCCTTTCTAGTTCCCCTTGATCCAATGTGTTCCTTGGCACCTTTCAAAGTTACCGTGATTTGAGGGCTGACCGAGCGGGCACGAGATGTATCGCTCACAATCACTTCCGATTCACACTCATTTTCCCTAAAACTCAATATCATTACTAACAGCTTGAAAAAAGTGAGATAAGTGAGAAAATGAAATAAAATGGCTGAAGAACCATAGGGTAACATATCCCTACATAGAACACCCAAGCTCGATCTTTCTCGATTTATTATCTCGAAAAGAAGTAGAAATCTTCCAGTATCCAGGAAACGATAATGATGAAAACTGAAAAGGAAAACTGACTCATCGCTATCCACAGCAACTAGCTTTGGCCGAGAAATTCGATTCTTGAGTGGAGACTTGGACACTCGACTTTGAACTGTACCTTTCTTAAAAAGAAGAAATTTTGTTCATAAACAAACAGGAAAAATCACCATTAAGGTGTGATCATGCGAGAGTGAAGTTTGAGCGGAACACTCGCCTTTTTGTCCATTAAAGACGAACCATATCCAGCGCTCACGCTTGCTTGATTCATTGCTTTCAGGAACATCGACGATCCCGCTTTCATTGTTTTCTTTTCAATTTCACTGAAATTGAACAGTCAACATTCCACTATTCTTTTATTCGAATTCCTTTTAGCAAGAAGGAAATACAAATGCTCTCAAAAATGCACACCAAGTGCCCAACCCAATTCCGAATCTAAACGAAATTACTCAATTCTATAGTGCGATGGGGATGAGCAACACTAATGATATGATGCAATACAAAAAAGTACGCTACCGAAAAATTTGCTTGCGCAAATCGTCCATACGTGCGAAGATGTACAAGTATCTTCACTAGGAACACGGTATAGCTCATATGCATTGATGAAGACCGCAGTCTTCGTACAAAGGGAAGCTTAAAACTGCTTACTTCGGGAGGGTCATCATTATCGATTGTGAAGAGCTGCTTTTGTTTTTGGTCACCGAGCTATGGCGAAAGGATCCAACCTTGTATGTTCCAGAAGTAATTGAGATTTTTTTATGGGTGACAAAGTCAACACTTTCCACATTGAGTTGTAACTCGTTTAGGACCCATCAGGGCACATGATTATGGAGCACCGAAAATTGCGTGAACAGTATTCT